CAATTGTGTTTCGAAAGTACATTTCTCTGAAGAGATCAATGAAGGAGACCACAACGAAGAGAAGAGTGACTTTCCAGACATCATGACGCAAAGTGCTGTCCAAATAACCTTTGTCGATGAGGATAAGATTACAGTTGCGCGTTCGGCAAGTTTGGCTAGTGCAACGGGTGAGATAGATGAGTAGGACACCGATACTGACACTTACAGCGATACTGATTTCAATCAAGTTGGTGAAAACCCTGTCCGCCGTACATTTACAACAAGGTCAGGAACAGTTGTACGTGCTTATCTTGGGTTGGATAGTTATGCCATATATTTTCTCGTTCCTGATGTCTATTTCATCATTCAGTATCTTGGTTATACTAAACAACGTTATTTGAATTACTCTCAACACTTCATCGAAATTGCTTTGAAAAACAGAATTTGACTTCACTCACCTGGTGATAGACACACACTTCCACCTAACAACGACTCAAAGTCTCGACCATATAATCCATCTGAACTACAGTTGGGACCTGCGGAACCTATGGGAGGGAAAGAAAGCAAAACTCATCCAAAACATTGATTCTGAACGAAACGCAACTTGGATATCTTTTTTTGGGAATAAATGCACTAACAATCAAACGTGCAAAGGTGCCTTGAAAAAGTAAGTAATACAAAAGTGAAGGTACCAGGAATTTTAAGTTGAGATCTGTGTTTTCCTCAAATTAGTGTGGAATAATATTGCAAGAGATAAGAACCAGGAGAGTAACCAATCCCGGATTATTTTTTGTCACCCGAGTAGTTTGTAAAACACTAGGCTAGGCCTCTTGGTTTACAAATTTTTCTCGCGTTCTCCGAACACCCTGTGTGGTTTCTTAGCCGGTAAAGCGATGGAAAGTGTGGTTTAATGCTTAATTTTATACATGTAAAGGCGCCCTGAAAGTACAAAAAGGTAAGCGTTGCAACATTGAAGGTACCAGGAATTTCACGTTGAAATTTATGTGGGAGTGTAGTGGAAGTAAAGGGTACCAAGAGAGTGATTTTCATTTATCATAGGTTGTCTCTTCAACATTTCATATCTCAACTGGTTTTAATCAGCCTAAGTATAAGTTATAGAGCACTTTTAAACTTTGTTGAA